GGCGTCACGAACAATTAGCCTGCGAGATCGCCCAAGATACGCCAAGCGACGTTCCATCACCTCTTCTTTCCGATCTCTGTAGCTTTCTCAAGTTCTAGATCAACGGGTCTCGTGACCAAAATGGGAGTAAAAGGTCACCAGTCCGGTCCGACGCATGCAGGCGTCTTCCGCACCGCCGACCTGTTCTGACCACTGACATCCTTTCTTTTTTTTCCCGCGATGCACGCACAATATCTCGGCCATGAAGAAAAGAGAACGCCTCACACGAATTTCCCCGAGCCCAAGTATGGGTCCACCTTTTAATATCGAAATTCATTCGGCATATTGCAATGGGTAATAATTCGAGATTACAAGATTCTTAATAATATACAGGCGAGATTGATTGACCTTTCCTTAATTTTACGATTTAGCGAAAAAAATGCAGTATTACTTCTTTTTGAGTTTAATCTTTATCACGAGAAAGTAACTAAGTACTATAAGCACTAAGATCTAATTGCGTAGTGTTAAGACAGCAGATATTTAATGCAAACTTTTAATATATTATTAAATCAATTAAGCATATAATCAAATCGAATTATCCTATGTAAACAAAATAATGCAAAATAAGTTACATGAGTTTTAATGAACTGTAAACATATATATCATGTCATGTCTGAAATTATAAAAAGATTCGTGCACATACGGATGTAGGCATAAATTATAATTAAAGGATATATAAAAATAAAAAATTAATTGTTAACGTTTATCGTTTATGGGGTGTGAAATTATTCCTCCGTGTAATAAACATAGCGTTAAATTGCAAGAAAATTAGGTTGTTCCACCGCATAAGTATAAAATTAGAATGTGAAAAAAATGATGTATCCGTAAAGTCTGAGTTCCAATTTGCATTATATTTTTTGTAAGTTGCCAACCTTTAATTATTTGTGCACCAGTGTACCAATATGTAACATAACTGTATTCAAAAACTGAAAATTACCACGCGATCTGACATATTTTATATTACTTTTTTCTTCACAGAAACAGGTAGAAACTGTCATTATGGTAACGGCAATATTACTGGAATCTTGTTTGCATAGAGTTATATATTATAAAGATCCAAGTTGTACAGATAATAATTGACGGTTGTACCTTCGTATGCTTTAGTATCGTTTTCTTCCGAAATAATAAAATAAAGTTTCCCGTCTGACGTAAATTGAAAGCATCAACGAAAAAAAGATCGCCAACAGAACTGTCACATCTCTTATCTCCAACTCTCTCCAAGAAAGTCTCGCAACCGTCCACTATGCACGAGAGCTGGACAATGTTATAGTAGTTAACATTTTGTATAATGGAGCGCCACGGATAAAGAGCATAAAGAGCCAAGAGCCGTTCTCGTTCCAACGGCCAAAGATCAACGATCGGGAGATGCAACGGATGGTTTTTTTTTGCGAGCATCGCCGCGGCTATGTCTTAAGCCGTGAATGACGTGAATAAAGCCTCCTACGCCTACGCCGCCGCGCCGCGGTGCCCCTGGCGAGCGTGCAGTTCCGGACGCGGCGGTGTCTTGTCCGTCCATTAAACTTGCATCTGTATCGGTCACGAAGCTCGCCGTCGCCGATTAGCCGCTATATCCTCCGGCGTCACGAACCGCGGGGCGCGGTCAAGGGCCGCTGCATGCTGGCGCTGATGCGTATGCAAGAGCACGATAATTATTAGCCGTGATCGTAATTATACACCATCGAACAATTTTCAATTTGCGCGTTGCATTACAATCGATAAAGCGCGTCGCATTGCCGCGCCGAGAGAAGAAAATCTTACGCGGAGGCGCTGCCGTGGGCTTGAATCGAGAGCTCGTACATAACGAGAATGATGAATAATGTTTAAGAAGCAAAAACATATCTTTTTGTTTGTCATAAATTCGTCTTTTTACAAATTTCTTGGGAGAAAGTCCATTATTTTCATTTACCTCGATACTTTCGCAAAGTAAGGATTATTTCAAAATTCTCCTGAAAATTCAAAGAAGAAAGCTCAATATGAGGAACAACATTTTGTATATTATTGTTGAAAAACTGAGAACACATAGTCTCTCAATATTTTTCTGTCACTTTTTTTATTATTACATATAATTACTTTAAAAAGTATGCAGGAAACGCCATGAAAAATGTTAGACAAGTACTCCGTCATTGCTATCGGTTCTTGTACAGTGTTAGTTATCTGTACGGTATTGCGATACGATAATCATGATAACATAGGTAACAAGCTAATACAAAATTAATTATGGCTATCGCAGTATGCACCCACGAGTTGGATTTTATCTGACAATGAGACGTAGTTTTACAAACGGGCGGAATACAATGCCGATAGAAACCGTTATTGCACAGAGTATCGTGAACCAATCTTGTGCATAACTCATCGGCATTGTGCGCGAGTCGCCGTGAGTTGCAGCTGCGGTGCGCGTCAATCGGAAGTCTACGCCTGTAGAAGCGTCCGTTTAAAGTGTTACGATAAGACTCCAACTCACATGGTTACGCAAAAGAAGAAAGGGATTAAAAAAGAGACCAGGAAAGAGAGAGGGAGAGAGAGAGAGAGAGAGAGAGAGGGAAAGAGAACCGCCGATACCATCGATAATCGCCTCTGTCGGCTTCCCTTGCGTTGCGTGAGGTCACAAGAAGCTGCTCGCGCCGGCGGCTGCTATTGTCAGTCTGATCACGAACTGACCGCATCTACTACGCGCGCGATCGCGAGAGAAGCCGCCTGCACGCCTATCTCTCGATCCTGACTGAATCCTCGCTGCTACATTTTCCGCACGAATGATTCGCGCGTTCTATTGAAATTATTAATTTCCGCTCAATGAGATGTTAATTTATTGTTAATTTGTCTCCCTTTAACCTCCGGAGGGGAAAATATCATAACATCTAAGCTCTGAGACTCCATGAAACTTTCTGATGGCATCGTTATTTAATTAACATAAGATAACTTCGAAAGATGATTTCGAAAGTGTGTTTTGAACGCTCGACATTTTCACTGCGCTTGAAAGATAAAATAATAATAATGGATCTCCAAGAGAGAAAATGCATATGAACTAATTCTTAAAAGCATCTCACGTGTTTAGTTTAAGCGTTTCACGCGAGTTAATCCGTATTCGATCCGGCGGAAGAATCAGATTAGTCACGCCGATCAGAGACAAAGTATATATGGAGCGATGCGACCGGCTTTACATGGAACAAGATCTCATTTCCAGTTGGCTGCATCGTCGGCAGAAACACAGACAGAAGGAGAGAGAAGACTTGGAGAAAGAAAAATAGAGAGAAGGAGACGCGCATTGCCGGCAGCGCGCGCGCGCGCTGTACCTTTTTCCTCTCTCGTGTTCGTTCCGCGCGCATGAGAGACGCTCTTGAACATCTCGACGGGGAGCGGTAACTTTCTAGAGATGACCAACGGTCGCCTACGGCGGGGGACCTCGATTCCGGTCCCTCCGCGGATCGTTGATCTTGGCCGAGTTCCACGACGACCTCTTAATCACCGTGATCGCCAATTTATCCATCGCGGGGTTCTCGTTATATCCACGACTCGTGCATAATCGGGATACGGTCCGCGGGTATTCCGGCGTGCGCTAACAAGGGACCGGAGAGTCGTACTTACTTTCTAGGCGTCTTAATGAATTCCATGAAGTTGCACCGATGATCGATCACGTCGTGCGATAGTACATCTCATCACTTCCTCGATCCAGCTTGCGATCCATTTGTTCATAATTCATTAATTGAATCGTTACCAGGAAACGTGGCGCAAATTATAGTTTTTGTATCTTGCGTCACACAGATATTGACAATATCTCTCTGAGGCACCGCTACGTAATCAGAATTTTAATTAAGTACGGATATCAAATCGCCCGCAGCCGAACAGCCGAGTTTGAACTTACCTGTCCGTCAATTGCCCGCGGCATTTCAAGCAAACAATCGCGTGATTTTTGCCGGCTAAATAACATCGATGCATGTTCCGTACGCGTGTAACGGATCGCACGGATTTTGTTACGGTATTTCCGGCACAGCTTTACACGTCGCACCGAATTCCAACTGTATGTACGCGTTGGGAAGAGCGCGATACAGATCTGCACGCGCGTCACGTCAGAGAACAATTCGCCGACATTCGCGGAATACATCATCAGAGGTACAAATGCGAGTTTGCAAAACCGTAAGGAAGGATAAGCCTGGGAAATTGTTTAAAAACCAACAATTATGACAAAGTGTTTTTGTCGTAAAATTAGATAAATAATTATTTAATTGACAATACTTATTGAGACTTCAGTATTAGACCAGTTATTATCATCGAAGGTTTGGAGGACCTTTGAAATATATGTGAAAGTTATTATAATAGTAGACGAGTGCAAAGGAAATTAAAATGTCAAATAAATCGCACGTCTTGTAGAAATACGTATAATTATAATTTAATGCAAATAAATTAGAGTTACATATTTTTTCAATCGTTTCTCTCAAAATTTTAATGTTCTTTATCGCAATATCACGGAGAAAAATTGTCATCAGTTTAATTAATCGGAAAAATTTTACAAACCTTACAAATTTCTATAGAACTTTATTCTACATGAATGCTCTAAAGTGAAGCTATGCCGTGCATTCGTAGAAGATCTCGTCGTTATGTACGCAATTTTCCACGTGACCGTGACAGCGGAGGCAGGAATCTCGGCATTTGCTGACTTGCGCGACAGGGTCGTCCATCAAACGTTAAACGAAGTTTATCTTCTTCCTGCGACGATTTTTCCGAATGACATGACACAAATCCGTCGCGGTTTTCTCTATAATATAGCAGAGGCAAAATTGCGGTCGCATTTTGCGTAGATGGAAAGAAACTAAAGTCAACTATTGTTTTTAATCGACCGTAAAATAATTTCTATCAATCATTTTATTATTTATTTTATATTCTTCATACTTTGTAATTATAACGTTGTGTTTCCATTAATTTAATTACTAGAATATTTTAACCATTATTAAAACTTTTGTTTTCAGACGGTATCCAAACGGATCCCGATCCAAACGGTATCGTCCATTATCCAAATGTGCAACGTATTCTCGTGGGAAAGGTAATTAGCGCATTTATTATTTCTTATAGCGAACAATTATTTAATAATTATTAATACTTTATAATAATGAAATGTTTATATAAGAGAATCTTAGGACAGTAAACATGTAAATATCAATAATTATTTACTCTAATAAATAATAATGTTAATCTAATTAATAACGAGTAAAGTATTATATACGCTCGCTAATACTTTATTTGTTGTCTCGATGTTATCTCTCTTGTCAAATTATTCAGAGTAAGACCGATATTATACGACCAGTTATCACGTATCACGATCTCTGAGACGACCTTCTTAGAGATCTGTCCGTTACGTATATGCATTTCTTAAACCGGTAAATAAAACCATTGTACATGTAACGCATTTCTTAAACCGGTAAATTGTTCAAGAATTCGACCTGCTAACACGTTGTTTGTTACACGATACGTCAAAATAAAATCAAATTAGAGAAGAAAAAATTACAAAAAGGTCAAGATAACGTGTAAATTGCGTTTAAAAGAATATTTAGCAATTTTCACAAATTACTTATTTACTCAAAAGCATCCAAGATTTAGTAAATGCTGAAAATAGTATTCTAAATTTATTTCATCGCGAGCACTTTCGTCAAGGAAACCGACAACAGCTATCAGTGACAGCGAATTTCTAAAGAAAAAAAGAAAAAACCATAAACATTATTTTTCATTTTTGTTTCTTTTACCTATGAAACGGAAGTGATACACGGTTCCAGTTTTGCTCATTATACATATGTATAATGTATATAGGTGCTAATTTTTGTGACGATATCGCGCTACACGATACAACGTACCGATCGAATAAATTAGCATGCGGTGCGCGACGCGTAGATCGACACGGGAAGAAAAAAGAAACGCCCGATCGATGTAAGTGATGTAACTGCTGGTGATAAAAATATACACGGAAGATGCGATGCGAACGAGAGAACGGACCGCTTATTACCGCGCCGCTGGGTATCGCAATTCGCGACGCGGGGCAGCTGCCTCGTACTTGCACTTGCGAAGTCTTACCTTCGTTCGCCTTATGCCGAGGAATGACTTGCTAATAACACGAATCGTTATCTAACGAGAGGGAATCGGACGTTCCGCGTGGAACAATATGTTCTCTCTTTCACGGAGAACCGACAGCCCGCCGATAATGACAGATGAGCGCCGAAATGAGCGGGTAAAGTCGTTCGTAAATTGCACTTCGCGTCCGCAACGTTCTCCGCATCCTGATTCCTCTGACGCTGCGCCACTCACAGATGTTCCACGTATATACTTGATTATTCCCCGACATTTTTAATTCCATTATTGAGATCTCTCAAGGAGAAATATAGAAGAATTTACATTTATTGGCCGCAAATAAATATAAAAGAAAAACAAAATTTATTTAGATTTATCGAGATTCGGATCACAGATTCGGTAATAATTAATGCGGATGCACCGCTATGATTCTTTTTTTTTAGTACGAGGAAGCGCTTGACATTGACGCTCTCAACAACACGAAAAGAGCCGACCGGGAGGTCCTGTTCTTCAATCGCGTGCCGAAAGTCGGTTCACAGACTTTTATGGAGCTGTTGAGGAGGCTATCAATAAGGAATGCATTTTCGTTCAACAGGGACCGTGTGCAGCGAGTCGAGACCATACGTCTCGCGCCGATCGAGCAGGTACGACGACCTCCAACAAGAAAACCCAATCAATTACCATCAATCGAGCGATGGCAGCCGCTCGCGTAGTAATTACCAGTTTAATTTACAATCCCGTCACCGTTGAGCCCTACAAGGTGATATAAAAGTACGACGATACTGACCGATCCAATGATCTAAGTGCTAACGGTTTAATCTCTTCCGTACTTCCTTTTTTTTTGCTCAAGTTTCTCTCATCTTGATAAAATTATGAAACAAGAGGAAGAAAAGCGGGAGAGCGTATCGCTAGATAAAATGTAAAAGAAGAGAGATGGGAAATATTGCGATATGATAACATGTATCAAGATATTGCATTTAGAAAGACTTAAATTTGTGCAATTTAAAGAGACGATTTAGAATCAACGTTGACTCTCTTTGAAAAATCTTATTTCCTAGCCTCTCTTATGGGGTATATTACGGGCTCACAATGGCGAAAATAATAATGGAAGATTAATCACTTTTTGCAATATCCTTCTCAAAGTAGTTATGCAGCTTGTGCAAATTATATATAATTTTCATTTAACTTTCCTTATGCTTTCAGCTGCATCTCGCCAGGATGGTCAGCAGTTATTCGGAACCGTCTGTTTACGTGAAGCACGTCTGCTTTACTAACTTCACAGAGTGAGTGCCACGAGATTAGCCTTGCAGGTAATTTAAATGATTGCTACCGCCATTTTCTACTTTCTTGCATCTTCTCTTCGTCAGATTCCACCTACCAGAGCCGATTTATATCAACATAGTACGCGATCCTGTAGAGAGGGTCATATCATGGTATTATTACGTAAGAGCACCATGGTACTACGTGGAGAGGAAGCAGATCTTTCCGGACCTACCGTTGCCCGATCCCAATTGGCTCAAGAAGGACTTTGAGTCGTGCGTATTGAAGGGCGATCGAGAGTGCAGATATTTGCAGGGTGAGATCCACGAGGGCATCGGCGACCATCGCAGACAAACCCTTTTTTTCTGCGGTCACAGCGAAAAGTGCACGTAAGAAAGTTTGTTCGCAAAATATCAATAAATTACTTTTGCAATTGTAATAAACTAAAATCCATATTATAAAATAGTTTACAATAATTTTCAAATAATATGCACAAATATATATTTTAATAAATATTATGGAATGCACAAGTACGATATTTTAACATACTGCACTTTTCCGAAAGGCCTTTCAATACCGTTGGTGCCTTGGAGCGAGCAAAGTTGGCGGTGGAAAAGCACTACGCGGTAGTTGGCGTCTTGGAGGACATAAATACAACCCTCACGGTACTGGAAAACTACATACCACGATTTTTCCAGGGAGCTACCGATGTTTACTATGGTAAATCATTAAATGATTAACTGCTAACCAATCTTAATCTTCAGCTTGAATAAACAATCAATTCATTAACATACATCTACATTTGCATAGTACTTTTTTAGTATGATTAGTCGAATATGTTAGTAAAATTTAAATACTTTAAATAATTGTAAAAATAATTATATATAAAATATATGTATAATTAATTAATTCAGATTATTCCTATTTTGTTTGAATAATTATATCTTTCATTTTTTTTAGATCAAACAAATTCCTTTATGAGGATCAATCGAAATTTCTTTAAACCGCCAGTCAGTGAGGAAGTGAAGAACTTGGTGCGCAACAACTTTACCCGCGAAGTCGAATTTTATCAATTTTGCAAGCAGCGACTTTATAGACAATACAGAGCTCTAAAATTGCGATCGAAAGTTCCGTAGTCCGCAATCGTGATGCTCTCTGAAAAAGGACCTCTGTTATCATGCGAAGGCAATTATTAAATACATGAAAGACATTACGAAGAAGAATACACTTCAGTGCAATTACATTTATTAGTGTTAGTGAATAGTGATTCGATAAAGATTTACAACAAAATGATAATTATTTTTAAATAACAATAATAATAATTCACACAAATTTCATTAAATATTAAATGGTGCAAAAGAAAATTAATTTTATACAAGAATTAATAATATAAGAGCTTATAACAATAGCTTTTGGACTAATACCAGATTAATATGACAGACTGTACTCTACTTGTCCAGTCATCACAATATTGAAACTGAAATTTTAATAACGACTGCTTGCCGAAATCAGGAATTCGTGGCGTTTTATCGAAGATCCGATTACAATAGCTATCCCACGAGTCAAAGATAAAGAACAAAATATGTATTTGTTGTTTCCTTCACGATTAATGCAATGATCTTAAGGATCTTATATCTAAGGAAACGTGAGGAAACTCATGATATTATCAAATTTTTTATTATAATAATTCCATGACAAAAAAAGAATAATTAGTTCTTCGTGTGACCACTGTGATGATCTAGTTCCATGCGTTTAAGAAAACTTTGATAAACCTTATTATGAAGAAACAAAATCTCATGATGATATCAAATATTTTAGTACAATGATCATCTCATGACATATCGAGACAAAGAAGAAGATAATTTTGAAGTCATGTGATGATCCAAGCTTGACGCATTTAGAAGAATCTTGATAGACATAATTAAGTCTAATAACAGAATTTAATAGAAATGCAAATAAATAATAACTATTAAAAAAAAAGAAAAAATAATTTGCGTGCATTTAGTGAAATATTTGTGGAGTTTTGAGTTTCGGTAAAAAATGATTTACCGTTCTATATGAAACTTGCCACGATATGGATGCATCGCGCGACTCAGAAATAGAGACACTCTTAATAAGTGCCGAATGATCACCTGCGATCGGACGTCATGACGCTATTTTTTTAGCAGACGTCACTACACGAGTTATATATGCAAGTTCTAGGCACATTTATCATTAGGATATTTCGCGTTAATTAATAGCATTCACGATGATTTTTCTCGCCAACGATGTATGAACGATGCAAAGACTGATAAAACGATGATATTTTTTTATCGCGGAGTATTTACGATCACAGAGAAAAATGTACAGGGTAACGATTAGAATATATCGCTTTGTAAGAGAAAAATACTTGTTTGTACTCTCATCGACTTACGATTATTTGGAATAAAACGCTGCCATTTGAAAAGAAACGATCACCTTTACTCACCTTTTGCTAATATTGTCTCACCGTTTAATTATTTGTTAACGTCTTTTATCAAATTGACATTAAATATTAAAATGTTGCACCTAAATACCGATTAATATCTACAGCAAAATCCGATCTCCTTAATGTTAGAGAATATTTATAACTTTAAATATATTAATAAATTTTAACTCTCTCGATCTCTCATGTCGAAAGCCTACATGTAGCATTCGTCGTTTAAACGAAGAGTGCCAAGTCACATATCCGGCGACACAACCAGAAGTTCGAAACTATAGCGTTACTTTTATTTCAAGAATCTAAAATAAGATTCATAAACACGCATCACGCGAACATCACCGTGACATTTGTCCATATATTTTATGTATTTTCTTGAATTAACAACTGAGCTAATACAAATTTTATTTAGCAATAGCATAATTAGATACGTATATGACTTTACCATTTTGTTAGACGAACCATAAATAAGATTAAAAATAGATTTTTCTGAAACAAGAAAGAAATTATGAATCCATCTTTTATTTATCATTTTCATAATATATGGAGAACAAATATTATATATATTATATATACAGATATATCGTATATAATATGTGTCTGTGTATAATATATGTATATAGTTTGCTCCTTCATGACATTCAGCCTTTATTCACGCACGTCCGATTTCTATTAAAACGTCATTTATGCGAAAATTCAGTAATATAGAAAGATTGACATTAAAGAGTTACACTTTGTTACACTACATCCAACGGTGTACGAGAAATTTGTGGTAAATATAAAATCAAGTATTCTGATCATGAAAATATATAAAAATAGGTGCAGTGTTAATATGCATTAACGTATAGCCATTTCGACATAGTTACATCTCATCTTCATTTCTTTTAATAACATAAATAATATTCGCGTTTTCGATGATACAAAAGATTCAGTGGCTCGACTTATCCCAGCATATATCTACATAGAAAAATATATTACGTTTGGTACTACAATACTAATCGACGCTGTCTTGGACATAGAAGTACTTGCGAAGAGACGTGATTTAATTAGTAATGTAATGATTAGACAAATGTTCAGGCACATTTTCCATCGGTCCATTAATCCATACGTTCTTATCAACAACATGCGCCAGCTGTGTGTTATAAAAATTAGATATCTGTAAGGTTTCCTACATAAATTAATACTAATTGTTGTTGATCTAGAAAAGTTTGGATAGGACGGATGCTGATATATGGACGGTACCGATACACACCCTCTAGTATGTCTCTCGTTCATATTTGAAATATGCAATTTTCAGGATTACATAAAGATACAAAGTAATTTCTATAATTTTTTTTCTTCAATTTATTTCATTAATTTAATTAATTTATTTCATATATGTATTATATTTGCCATCGATGTGCAATTTCCAAAATTACAAAGTTGAAGTTACAAAGTAATTTCTAGAATGTCTACAATTTTGTTTTAATTAATATTAATTTAATTGCAAAGATTACGCTATAACGAATAAATGAAAAGGAGATTCAGAAAATTTAAAGTTAGGATATTTCAGTACAATTAATATCTTTCTAACTATAAATCCTTTGGCAAAATTAAACTGAAACCTAGCTTAGTAAAAAGTTATCATTATTTAACAATAAAACTTTAAGTTTAATTTCCATTAAATCAACTAAAATTTATTGAAAAATAAAGTTTATTATTCAATTATTATTCTTGAAATTTAATTATGCTAACAGTCTATTTTACAATATTGTACATTTATATAACTATCGATTGCCATCTTTCATCAATTCGTTTTATAAGATTTTTGATAAATTGTCAAAACACGCAACAAGTATTCGCAACAAGAGTGAAGCTGTCGAAAATATTTTGATCATTCTTCTGTGTCCGAGACCAACGCCTTTAAAGTTACGAAGCGATTAAGATAACGTACACATATAAACATACGTAGACTAACAAAAATAGTTCGTCCTACATATACGCCGGCTACATGCCAAATCTTCCGAGTATCCTTTCTCATTTCTTCTTCGTCTAGACTTGTAGAATGTATTGTACTGTAAATCGCTTTAATCGCATATATATATCACAACTGTGCTTCTCATGCACAACCTTCCTTCACAATATTCATCTCATGCATGAACAATGTTCGCTTACAAGTGGCCAAAAAAGTTGATACAAATCTTCGTCCAAATATATAAACCATACATTTAAAATAGTTATCCAACGAATTAAAAACCTATATATATGTATATATTCATTCGGGGTTGTCACGTTAATGATTCCTTGTAGGCTTGTTATTGTTAATGTAGTTATATTGTACAATCTCGAAGATATGAATATTTCGATATAACAAGCGGATATATATGACAACATTATCTCGAAATGAGAACAATCTGCGATCTAGAAAAAAAAGAAACATGCGCACGTAGAATTTATATCCTTTTACTTCTAAATCGCAAAGAAAGATAGCATATTCTCAATTTCGAATTATAAGTATATCCTGAAGTAACATAAATAAAGAAAAAAAATAACGATTAATTTCATTCATGTATATGTCAATAATCACATCAATCTTATAGCCGATAAAATAAAAATAAAAATACAAAAACCCAGGTGAAGTATTAATGAGATTGATATATGTAATCGTTGTAACTCTGTCCGTTCTTTTCAACATACTTTGCGCAGAAACGGACTGTAACAAAATTAATTCGGTAGTCGAAAAATATAATTTCAAGCTATTATATTAATTCTACAATTACTTAATTACACTGCTAATCCCGGTTACATAGTATTGCATGTTGATAACGGTGAGGATCGTTGATAACAATCTCTAGGAAAATATTATTAATTATGTTATATCTTTTCTCGCAAATAGTTTACTGGAAGTATGTGTTGTGTGCGCTCTTCTCTCTCTCTCTCTCTCTCTCTCTCTCTCTCTCTCCCTTATGATTATATAGTTATTACAATCCTCTAGTAATTTACTTCCATAAATAGCACATATTTTTCATAAATAACAGTACTTAACAATATAATATAGTATCTTTGCATTATTATTAATATAACACACTCATATTTATATATTTTATATACAGAATAAGATAAGATAATTTAAAAATATTTCGACTATTTAACTTTTCCTGATATAAAAATGTAAAAAAATGTAAGATTTTACTTTTATTTACATGGTAACACACAGTAATAATAAATTTTTTCATTATAATAATATTGCTATAAAATAAAAGCGTTTATTTAACTTTTAGATTATTGCGTACAATTAAAATTTTAAAAATTTATGTATTTTTGACGATATATGTATAAAACTTGTATTAAAAATACAAAAAAGATTTTATAAACAATCGAAACATACAGGAAATAATAAACGTTAAAAATGTATGCCAATCTTATAATAATTTTATAAAATTTTCTTATGCAGAATTCAATAGCTAAACAATTGTCAAATTTTCTATCTCCAAATCATCTTACTTTATCCTGTATGTATTAACATGTATTATACACAAGAATATTTTGCTAAAGAGCTTAAGTTTATGAATACACCAGATCGAAAAATTTTAGAGACAACATATCTAATAATGAAATTATTGATTTGTGTCATGTGTGTACATATCGTATGCCTCAATAATGGTGGTTGCATCTATTACTTGACACCTAAGTTTTATCATATAAATTTATATTATAAGAAAAAATATGATATATGCAACAGATTAGAAATTCCGAGGTTGAATATACAGGAAAAAAACATCATCAAGAGTTAAAGCAAAGATAAGATAAAAATTTATAAAAAACTCGTAGCAACAGATATTCCGATACATTAACCAATTATACAATTTATATTACGCATAAAATTATATAAACAAAATAATTTTAACGTTTTTAGCATATATTTTTTTAGCGTATATTTAATTTTATATAAAACAAATAACAAAATATTAAACCGATAATAATTATGTTATTATATATTTTTTAAGTATGACAATAAAATAATTTATTTAATTTGAAAAAATTAATAATTTATTTGTTAAAATACAAAAGAAAAATATATTTAAAAAGCATATAATAATAAAATTTGATAAAGATGCTAACATATTTATACTTTAAAAAGTATCTGCATTTACTCTTAAAAAAGGGTATCCGCAAAGTCCATCTGCACAATCAACACACATTTTCGATGCGAAAAAGATATTATAATTAATGCTCCTCGCCGAGAACTACTCAGCCAAGAACTCCGCGTGGACCGTGGCAACGTCGTGTGTTTTCTTTCCTGAATAAGCTTCACTTCACGTGCCTTTTACATGCAACTATTTACTGATTGTTAGGGGGGAAAAAAATAATTTCTATCTATTTTTACAAGTTTTTTAAAGCGATTCTATTTTTTTATTTCATTCAAATTCTCTTTTTATTTAAAAATGCAAGAAACTTTTACGTGTCATTTCTCATTTATGGAAGCTTTCCATTTAGTGACACAAGTAGACACAAACGTCATTTTATCCTTCTTAGCATTTACCCACACAGCATGAAATATTTTAAAAATATTTTAAAAATATTTTATGCAAGATTTGAAATATTTGAAAATATTTCATAAAATATTTCTAAAATATAAATATGTCTAGCATATCAGAGTTTTCAAAATATTTCAACAAAAATATTTCTTACGATATTTGTACAGTATTTCTAGAATATTTTTGTGCAATAATTTAAAATGTTTTACAAATGTTTACGAAATATTTCGAAATATTTAATTGAAATGTTTCAAAAAATGATCCACAAAAAATATTTCATGCTGTGTGGAGAGTGAGTAAAAAGCCAAAACGATACTTGTGTCGGCTTGTGTCACTAAATGGAAAGCACCTTATGACCTGATAATTCCAATAGCCGCGGTGACTAGCTAGGAATCTTAATAATAGTGATATGTACAAAAATTATCGTAAAACAACAATTTCCATAGTTTTATATAATACAAACGTTACACTGAAAAAATAAAATTAGTTAATGAAGGACACGTCTGCCACCAATATTGACGCTATCTGCATGCACACATATGCATATATAATATATGTACAAAATAACATGTATGCTCTCTCAAGTGAAAGTTCTAGTTTTATATACTATATCTCGCCACCACTATAAAATATCAGTCTAAAAGTACCATTTGCAAAAACGAATATAAATGATATTTAGTTCATATTTAGCTTATTTATTTTTGTACATATATTATTGTTTTATTTTTTTATAAATTTTTCTGTTTCAATATTATTCGAGATATTGAAACTAATTTCTTTTCAGGGTGAATCGACTCCATGTTTGGCAAAGAGAATAGGCGATTGCAAAGGATTAAAATATTTGTCATATCAAATTCAAATATAAATATATGTCTTTAAAGACGTGAATTGAATTTAAATCGCACGTTTTATTCAAACGCGTTTCAGTCAATACCGAACACAATATTCCAAAGAAAAAAAAATGTTCCGATATGTAACATCTTATGAAGAACATCTATCCTCTATACGATGATGTCTACACTCTCGTATGATGTCGCTAATAAGAACTAATATTATTATATCAACGTTCGTTTTTTATTATCGCCTATCGTCGTTGTACTGAATAGCGCTAACAAAATCGCGGCCACGTGCGACAGTTCCTTCTGCGATCGAATATATGATCTATCATCTTTAACTTTGACTGATAAACTCTACAAAGATACTTCATAGGAACGTTTAAACCGTCTATTTGTTCTCAGCGTTTCCTGTCAATTGTATTCAGGCCATTTTGCATCTTTGAACTCTCAGATGAGTATTCGTTTTCTGTCTTCTTAAAAGGGGATTCTAGTTTTTAAAATTATAATCTCCATCGCTTAACAAATACAGTTTGAGACAAACTATATGGCAGATAGAAATAATTTCCGCTATCTCTCGGAAAATACTTTCGTGAAGGAAGATTTCGGAAATTAATAAAAACATTCATCTATTTGACAGTAATCTGATGTTAATATAAGTTGATATAATCATTTAGTATTTCTTGAAAATGGATCAGTCAGTATTAATTTGCAGATCAAAAGGCAGGCTTAAATGCCCCATATCTAAACATATAAATTTTTTCACATTTTCACATTTTATTGACCAGCCACAGTATATGTTTGTTTTGTATATTATTTTTCTGCTTCCAAAATACTAAATCAATTAACAAACGCAATGAAAAACGTTAAAATAGTTTAATAATTGAGCATCTCCATCCGTTCATTACAAAGACAATTCGTTTATCGTAGCAATAAAATCGTTGTTCCCATAATCCACAGTCAAATATTTTTCACTCGTACTACTATTTATTTCTACAGTCGTCTGTCCAAAAAAATTGCTATTTCACTCCAATCTTTTTTTTTCTAAAGAGTATCATTCCAATAATGTTTAACGCTCGATAACCTTGCAAAAAGATTAATATATACTATTGTATATTCCGAAAACTCTCCGAGAGCTCCCTGAAGCAGTAGATAACAGTAATGGATTTCGAACGTTCTGTATTGCGCACTTCGTAAAGCACTTATTTAAGAATGTGTAAAAACCATAGAATACCGCAAACTCGCATTGTCAGCTTCTTCAACAATTCCTTCAGTCTGTGTTCCCGAAGCCAAGCCGTTGTCATGTCATCGAATCAGACAAACGCACGGTCTGAACGTTCTTCAGTAGAATGGCGACCAGCCGCTAGCACGCCGACACTCGTCGGCGGTGATCGGTATATATCCGGTGGATGATGAAGAGGCTGGCAGACACTGAAAGCAATAATTAGCACCGGCGTTGTTATCCCAGTACTGCGCACCTTTGCATTGAAACCGGACTGCGAATTCGAGCCTCTGACCGACCGATAATGTGTGACAATATAGAATAAAAGAGAATTTGTCGCTAAAGCCATCGCACGAATTAGGCACATAGGTCGCCTGCAGGTCGCTGAAGTTCCGCCACGAGTTGAGGGTGTATCGCACATGTACAGACTTATGGAAATCGAGATTGATCACGCGCACTGTGCCCTGGAGCGCCAGGGTCACCGGGTCCTGCACCACTACGTTTTCCAAACAAACCCGACGTTCGCGCACGATATCCAGAAAGTTCGACATACCGCCTGGCTGTTGAAAAAGCGGCGCTAGCATTCGGTCAATCTTTCTGGGTATCGCTGGCGTAGATCTGCGCCTGCCATCATTCTGATAACGCGGGTCACTCCAGCAGTCGTCGCCGATGGACGTTGTATTGTCCGAATTGCCGTCTTGAGGTCGGAAGATGTCATCGTAGATCAGGTCGCTATACGCGGAGTTGGGTATCTTCGGTATCTCGTCCAGAAACGTTCTCACATCAGCCAAATCAAGACCGAGCTTGTCCGCGAATCTGACGATTTTTTTCCTGTGCGGCGTGCCCGGTGGTGTTTTTCCCGTCTTCAATGAGGAACACCTTCGAACTCTCTGCGGTCTGTCCTCCTCTTCCTCCACCGTCTCGCTCTGAGTATCTTGTTCCGGCGACGAATCCTCCTCCTTCGCGGTAGAACTGCCGCCAAGTTTTTTCAGCAATAGGCACAGCTTCTCCTCGTCGCTGTCGTTCAGCGTGTTATCTTTCTCGATTTTTAACTTGAGCTCGTGCCTCGGGATCACCTCAGTCACTGTTGCATCGTTCAAACATTCTAATGTAAACGCATCCGAAATATCGATGGTACTACTGTAAGATGAATGATCGGTATCAGTGTCACTGGCAACCTCCTCCACTTTTAACTGCGACGAACTCTTCAGCGATATCGCTTTGGAATCCGATTCTTCCTTGTTCTTATTATCAATCGTATTAACTAAGTCTTCAGCACCATTAAAAGAATTATCCTTCGATGAGTCTCTATCATCCTCGGTATTTTGCATCGTGGAAAGACTACCATTTCTGACATTGCACGTTATATTCTTCGATATACTATTGATAAAGTCAACCTCATTAATCTCACGTTCATTCACGTTCTCCTCTTCCTCTTCGACCCGTCTGTCGAGCTTGTTAAATACTACTGTGCTGATACCGTTATTTGGCAATTCAGAGTCAGAATGCGATTTAGACAAACAGATATGAGGGATAACGGAATCTTGAATAGTTTTAAGTGGACTCTCGTCCTGGAGCGATAAAGTACTGTCATCGAATGTACTCCATAGAGACTCATGGCTGGGCGACGTCGTTTCCTGAGAGCTTCTGCCGTTCAATGAGTCTTCCGAGCTGCAAACCAATCCCTCTTGCTGGTGGCTATCCTCGCAAGACGTAGGATTTCTTCTCGAAGAACAACTCGACTCAGATGTTGTGTCGTCGCAACGTTCCGGATTCATGTCCGTCCGCTTGCGTCCGTTCAACGCAAGCTTGGTCCTCGCAGGCACGGAAGTGTTGGAGAGATTCGTGGTCTCGCTGTCCGAAGTGCTGATAGGATCGAAATAGACCTCGACTTTTGATTTGTCCGCATCCGAAGACTCCGGATCAAAAAACACCTCCGAGGAATCACTATCGGGTGGTGTACCGGTTATTGGCGATGCAAATACGCAGGACTCAGAATCTTGATGGATACCTGTGGTACCAGACGTCATCTTGGTACCACTAGGTGAGCAATGACAGGCATCGTGATGACTCGCCTTCAGAATCTCCGGATTTACCAGCAGATGCGCCAATTCGGCAGCGGTTGCTTCTTCGGGAGGCGATCCCGGTCCGTCCACTTCCGCCTCTTCCACTTCAATGTCATAGAAAAGATCCGACTCCGGACTGTGACGAGGCTGATGCTGAAGAATCGGATGCTGATTGTTGGAGGTCAAATTATTGGCGATTACATGCCGATTGCTCGACGATGGATGCAGCCAGGAAGTTTCGCACGGTTTGGCATCCGCGGTTCGTTCGGGCGAACCGTTCTCGTTGCCCAATGACGTTAATCGTCGATGAAGACACCGAGCGAACGCCTCCGCACTACCCCGACAGCTACTGGGAAGGAGAGAGCTGACTAAACCACAGGAGGGCCCGCGGGCGTTGCCTGCCGAGTCCATGCTGTCTAACTTGAGGACAGTGGAGTCGGCTGTATCCTCGGCGTGCCTGCCCTCCAACGGCAAGGGCAAAGGCGAGGTCGAGTCGCTGCCTCGGCCTGCCGGCACGCCGGCTGGATTGCCGTTCTGAAAAAAAAAAAAGATTGAATTAAGTCTCGTTTGCGATGAAAAAACTATGGAAAATAAATAAAATATTGCTAGAGATTACATGTACAAAATATGTACAGAATAAAATTAAAAAGAAAACTCAAATTTTACTTTTTCTTGTTTAGTCATACTGTTAATATTGTCTCACAAAATGTAACAAAATTAAAATATTTTTCCAAAATTTTTCATGACAAACGATCTTTTGCGATTGTATCAATCATGAAATATCAAAAAATAAATAATCTTCTTTTCCTCCTTTCTAGAAAATAACACTCGATTATTAGTCAAATGTAATTGCACTAAACGTATTTTTCCTGATATAATGACTTGCCGATGGTTGTTGCCTAGGATTTATGATCCTGCAATTAATCATCTTTACTTCATCGATCGCAAGTCGAGTTCGCGATACATAATTTAGCTCGTTAATAGCGTGTTAACGGTACCCAACAATAACAATACAAAAGGAAAGGAAAACAAAAAGTTGACGCAACACGCATTAATAACGTAGCACGTCATTAATAGATAGTAACAAGAATCACAACATTGGCTCATGGCCATAATGTTGCGCGTATCAAAGCAGCGCTGCAGGATGTACAAATGAACGGTCATTACGATCCACGTGCAGTATTCTAACGCGCAAACTTCAGCTCCAATCGCATCAATTTTTCATTCTTCGTAGAAATAATTTAAACGTGTGAACAACGCAAAAGTGAATGTATCCAAAAGTGAAAAGAGAATTACGGATTACTCGAATTTATATAATCATTTTGTATTCTCGACAAGAATAGTCGAGTGGTGCGAGTCAAGGCACGCGCAATGAATTCACGATCGAATTTTTAGACATACAAATATTGACATATAACTATTTATGAAACAGAAGAGGATGGAACGTTCTTCTTTCACACTGTTCTTTGCTATTGTACGCCCGACAACTATTTTTGGCACGGTGGAAGCTATAATTGGCCGTCGACAGCTGGCATACGCAAAACGCAGCGCAATCGTTATTTGAATCACAATGTAAATCACGCTTTATCGTTACCGGAATCCACTATTCATCAAAACGCACCTGGTAAACGAGCACAGACAATCTTTCACTCGAAAAAAAAAAAGAAATCACTGTTGTATTGCATACGATCAGAATTCAAAGTTCGAATAAAAATCGCAAACGCACAAAATAACGTAACAAAAGAATCGGCTGCAGATCGTCGCGCGTTACTATTCGTGACAGATTCGAGAGTGCGCTTTGAAAATCGCATGCACGCCACTGTGAGAAAATTGGGACGATATAAATACACGCTCAATTGGCCGCGAATCAATTCCTCACCTCTCGGACGCGCGCACTAAGGTGACACTTTGCTCGCGTACGCGCGAATCCTGCGCGAACTCGCCGAGTCTTGCTGCAAGAGTTGACGAATATTCGGCAAGCGAACGATTTATCGGGCATTTATTTTCGCATCTCTAAGTTACGACATCGAACGCAGTGATTTTAAAGGCCGTGCGAAAAAATAACTCGCTTTGATTTATGTAACTGGCGCTTTTGAAGCGAGACGCATACCGCGTGCGTTTGCCGGATCACATTTCTTCACAGTCTCGAAGCATTAATACACTGATATAAAAAAACATCTTTCAATTTCCTAATTCATAATTAATAATAATAATAATAATAATAATATAACTTCCTCAAAGCATAAGAAGTTTGATACTTCCATCGATTTATATATAATGATCCAAAAATAGCATTGCAATATATCGTTTAATGTTAGATGCGAGTATCAGGTCGAAACCGGTTTTGTGGCTGTAGCACGCCCATTCGGGCGAAAAGGCAGTGTGCGTAAAGGGGTTAAATTTGAAGTAACCCCGAAGTGACAGACAGGTTTCTCCGTTTTTCCAGTCGCGTGCGCCTCACCGCGACTATACATTTCAAATGTACACGTGTTCACGCGCGCCGCGTCTGATCGCGTCTATCAGAAGTCTAGGCAATCGCGATAGATAATCGTTACGCAAGACGAGGCTCGGCACATAGGCTTAAAGGCTGTTGGCCTCACTGATAGCACGAAACGCGCACAGCTAGATCTTATAATTTCGTTCCGGTTCAGAAACTTCACACAAAAAATTGAAGTCTTTTAGAAAATTATCGGATCTTTCGCGAGATTCTTCGTAGATTTGAAATAAATTGTTTTTTTTTTTTCAACAGAAACATTTGCTTCACTATACATAGATATCAATATCGTAAACGCATTTATAATATAGCTATACTACGATAGTGTAGTTATAATTCGATATCTACGTTTTTTTCTGAAGAATATTTTAATCGCTTCAAATTGCTCGTGTGTGAGCTTATTTCTGCATTTATAATTGAGACAGAAAATTTATGAATCAGATAGGATCAATCGGTGGAAAAGAATACAGCTTCATTAGGATCCTACAGCAAGAGTTTGTCAAAAGCTCAAAGTCCGTTAATGTGACCACACTTCCTGTCTTATCTGCGATAACAACGAGTGTCAAGTACCTGCAAATCGCCACAGTTCAAACTGATTTTTTTTTAATTTTATTTAATGTAGCAATACCAGTAATGTATCTTTCTCCGCGCGATATCATGCACGATTTTCATCGGCAAGACTAATAAGAATGAAAAACTTAAGGTGCGATTCCTAATTGATTTCCAAATGGTTATAATAAAGCGTACCGCGTCCTTCGCGAGAGATTATCCTTTGTAAGAGACTTTAATTGAGATTGTCAATTTAACAAATTAGACCTATCGCTTAATGATTCGTGCGTGTAGCAATGTCATATTGTATTGTATTACGTATAGAAGACAAAATTAATGTGTCATGTGCAAATTAATCGGAAGTAAAAATGTATCTTCGCGATCTTTTATAGGATCTTTTGAGAAAATCAATTTTAATAATTCAAGAACTAATAATGTCTTGTGTTTTCCGTATAAATCTAGATGATTTTCAATAACTATATACGTATAATATGTTACGATAATTCCATTTGATGATAATTATACCGATTTTCCGATTTAACTATCGCGTTTTAAGGATTGGAAAGCCTCCTGACACACATCAAAAGACACAACGTTTCCAATGAATCTACTTTCGACTCATTGTGTGAAAGAGAGAAAGAGAGAAAAGGAAAGAGAGAGAGGGAGACAAGGGGGCGACGTTTTATTTCCGTACGATCGTTCACCGACACAGTTTAAATCGTAACTACTTGACCCGTTAAGCTAGGGCACCGTCGCAATTTATCGCGACAGATTTATCGTTCTCTTTCACGATCCGCAAGGAGATTGCCCAATCATCATCGGGATCCCGCTCCCTAATTGATTAGTAACAAATTACGCGGAGAGATGATAAATCGTGTTACTTGCGCTCGTAAGAACCCCCAATTTCCTATCAAAAGAATTAAAGTTCTCGCAGTATACAAGGTCAGGTCTTTGAACCAATCGCTGCGTTTTATATCTGAATCGATAAATTGTAGTATTTGAAGTATTAAGAGTTTAGATTATGCCGTACAATATTATATCACACCTTAGTTTAAAAATTGAATAATATAGATTTCTAAAAAATCAAAAATATAATAAGAATAGAAAAAGCTGTGTAGTATCCAAAGAGGCGTCTGCATTTAAAAGAAGAGTCAATAAAAAAAAGCAACACTAGAGAAAACTCATCCTTATTCACAATTTGCATCTACTATATTTAAGTCAGATGTTACTGTTTATCAAATCCGGAAAATTAGAAAAGATAAGCTGGATATTACGATTTCTTAAATATTGACTAAAGTGCAAGAAATCAAATCACACGCTTGAATTGTTGTAGGCGCTAATTTCTCAGCTAATTAGTAATAAATTAAGGAACTTAGCGCCATTAATAGCCTGATAAACTGACAGATCTAGAATTTGCGTCTGTTCCTCTTATCACTCCGACGAGCAATTATATAGGCATTACTTATTCGGATTCCGCTCTAATTGATTGAGCTTGCGTTTATTCGCGATAAGATGATAAACCGCATTATCAGGTCATCGCGTGAAGGCCTGGTAAATTTTTCATCTCAAGATAAAATCATCACTAAGAAAATGCACTCTTTAAACGTTTAAATTACAATTCAACTCTTAATCGAAACTTTATTTCCTGCACTTCACTGAACAATAAGAATTGTTACAAAAAAAAATTGCACATTCTGTAAAGATCATCGAGAAGGTGAAGGACTCTACGCGTAGCAAGTTCTCAAATTCGTTTATTTCGTTAATTTGATAAAACCTGAATTCGCAATTATCTGTTGCAGTCCGAAAAAGTTCACAAAGAAGTAAATAGAGGTCGGACAAAACACTAATTAATTATTCATCGATACATTTACATGCAAACGCTCAAATTCGAGGCCGACGAGGCTCGACTTCTTGCCAGGATTAAAGTCACAGTTTATATTTAGCCGGAATGGAAATCTGCGAAAGCTGCACGGCTTTCAAGAGAATGATTTGATATTTCTAATGAAGACACCGTGATGAATGGAGAGACACGTGAGAGCTTCGCTCGGAAATTCATTTCTTATTTCGACAATGTTGCGAATATACATTTTCGAACGACAGTTTTAAATAATGACAGTCTACTGTTTGATATGCATATATGCAAACAAATAGCGGAATGCATAAGTAAAAGATTGTAATTGGCCGTCGACATAGTAATTTATTTATCGCTATATAGTAACATACCGCTTTGCTATTTAATTTAGATTAACCTGTAATGGAACAACTATTAACTTTCAATCTCCTCTAATTAAAAATCTCTTCCTCCTTAAATATGTAAACATCTCCAGTCGATTATAGCATTTTTTTGGAAAATTTTTCTGGACAAAGCGCAGAAAAGCAATCACAGAAAAAAAGGTTAATTTATCTAATTAATATAACAACAAAATTTAAATCAATTTGATATGTAACGTGATATGTAATGTGATTATATCTAACAGAGCAAGGTCGAATG